TACCTCTCTCTGCTCATATCTCCTCCTCTGTCGACTCTTTCTGGTCCAAAATTGTCCTGTGACTGCTGTACAGTATTACGATTGTCCTGGGATGCTCAAACAGTGAATTCTGTACTGAAAAGTAGTGATACTGTGAATTATAGTTTTGCGCCGAGTCTATCTTTAGCCTGTGCTATCTAGGGTCAGTCATAACTCTAATTTTGTCCGTCAGAATTCAATTTTGTTAGTCCCCAGTGAATCGCAAATTGAGAACAGTCAGCACTGTCAAATCACAGATTTGGATTTCGAGTATTTCACTGGATACAGTGAAAATTGGAATACGCCATACCCTAGGGTATGGTTGCCAGAGTCGTCCGGGTTTGAAAGTGAGTTTGAGTCAGGATACAGGGTATCTGTCTGCATCGCGTGTTGTGATTAATCTCTTTTGTCTGCATTAACCATCTTCCATCATTCCCACTGATTACACTTGTTTTCTAGTGGGCACTGGAAATTCTAGTGGGTCTCTGGAAAAGTAGTGGAGTGACTGTACTAACTCCAGTGTGGTCCAGGGTCAGTAAAAGGAAATCGTGTGACTGATTTTGCTGGACTTACAGTCTGTCTGACACCTGACCCCAGAGACACCCTTCTAACCCAAACCGTTGATTGTCTGTACACCCACCTACTCCAGTGTTGAGTTGCTGCAGCAATTCCAGTGTGTCTGCAGGAACCTGAATATCGCTGCAGCTCTGTCTGCTGTTATTTTATTGTTGGTTTTTATTTGAACCGGGAAAATGTCGGATCAGGGAAATGAGCAGCAGCCACAGGTAGAGGTTTTGGTGAAGGCAGAAGGTGAACAACCTTCTACCTCCATTACCCCCCCTCCACCTCTGACTGCTACTCAGAGGCTGAAGAAGGAGGCAGAAGAACAGCTCAAGCTGCAACAGGCCAGAGTAGTTGAATTGGCACGGCAGGAGGCTGCTGAGCTAGAGGCCGCAACAGATCACTCCAGAAGGGAGTATCTATTGCAGCAGCTAGAGAAGTCACTGATGATCGTTGTGCCCAGATCACCAAGCATATGGCTGAGATGATCCTGCTGGAGCACAAGATCACCAGCTCCCAGTTCACAAACTGGGATGACCGTTTTGTGCGGCTGGAGCGTCGGGTCGACGAGCTGTCAGCTCAGCAGTCCAAGATCCTGGATGCTATCCAGGGCTTGTCTGCTCAGCTGGCAGCCGCCAAGCTGATTACTCCTCAGCTCCCTCTGCTGCAACCCAAATCCTCTCCTCCTCCTTCACAACCTCCTTCCCCTCCTCCATCCCATGCAGGATCTGCACATTCCTCCCGGTCATCTACCCCTT